TTGGAGCCTGAGGAGGTCATTCCCTGAGCTCAAAATCCAGGCAGGAAGCTTGAGTCGTGTCAGGGTCTTTCAGAAATTCAGGTATGTACCACTTCAACTTTCTATCCAGCAATTTCAGTGGTTGGAGTATTCCCTCCTGTATTCTGACAATGTCTTCTCTGTGGGTGGTGGTGGGTGTGTATGTGTGACTCCCTACCTAGCCTGCACACTCTGAAAATTACCCGCTGTACCTGCTGAGGAGCGATCCCATGTTTGTCTTCTCTCTTATCTAAGGAAAGATACACTGGCATTGGAGATAGTCCACAGAAGGCTCACTCGGCTGATCCCAGGTATGGAGGGATTCTCTCATGGGGAGAGGTTGAGCAGGCAGGGCCTGGACTATTTTGCGGCTTAGAAGAAAGAGAGACAACCTTATTGATACAAGGTTCTTAGGGGACTTGACAGGGTACATGCGGAAAGGCTGTTTCCCCTTGTGGGAAAGTCTAGCACCAGAGAGTATAACCTCAGATTGAGACAGAGGTGAGGACAAATTTCTTCTCTCCCAGGTGAGTGAATCTGTAAAATTCTTTACCACAGAGAGCTGTCAAGGCTCGGTCATTATATTCAAGGCTGGGATAGACTGACACTTAATCAGAAAGGTCATCAGGGGTTAAGGGGTAAAAGCAGGAAAGTAAATTGAGAATGATCAGATCAGTCATGTACTCCTTCAATGGTGAAGCAGACTTTACAGGCTGAATGGCCTACTTCTGCTTCTATGTCATATGGTCTTATGGTCTCATCCTTTTATGGCACTGTCTTCAAACAAGTCAAATAGCTCCAAAAAATCTCTTCATATTTTTCATTTTGACCCCTGTTTGAGTGTGAAGATCCATGTGCTACAGAATGGAATACTTGAGACACTCTGTGAATTCTGATGGCAATCCACTGGGTCAAAACAAATCTGTTGTCCATGCCAGGGATCTCCTTTGGAGCCATCTGAACTCCTGCATGTCCTGGCTGGGGAAAACAGCCTAATTTTGACTTTATTGGATGTCTGCCTCATTGGGAAGATGGATATTTCTGAAGCATCTCAACATACATCTGATACAGAATGATAAATCAAATTACCATTGACCAGAAACTCAACTGGGCTCACCACATTAACACAGTGGCTACAAGAGCAGGCCAGAAGCTGGGAATACTGTGGCGAGTAACTCACCTCCTGACTCCCCAAAGCCTGTCCACCATCTACAAGGCACAAGTCAGGAGTGTGATGGAATACTCCCCACTTGCGTGGATGAGTGCAGCCCCAACAACACTCAAGAAGCTTGACACCATCCAGGACAAAATAGCTCACTTGATTGACATTACATCCACAAGCATCCACTCCCTCTACCCTCAGTAACAGCAGTGTGTACTATCTATAAGATGCTCTGCAGAAATTCACCAAAGATCCTCAGACACCACCTTCCAAACCCATAACCACTTCCATCTAGAAGGACAAGATCATCATACATATGGGAACACCACCACCTTCAAGTTCCCCTCCAAGCCACTCACCATCCTGACTTGGAAATATATCGTCGTTCCTTCACTGGCCTTGGGTCAAAATCCTGGAATTCCCTCCCTAAGGACATTGTGGGTCAACCCACATGGACTGCAGCGGTCCAAGAAGGCAGCTCACCCCCACCTTCTCAAGGACAACTAGGGACAGGCAATAAATTTTGGCATGTCCCGAAAGAATAATAAAAATGATCATGCCTGCAATGATCAGAATATAAGTAAAAAGGCCTTAAATTTCAAACCTGACCACTTTCCCAGAGGGATTGATAACTATGGGAAATGGTGAAGCTTCCTATCTGTAGATTCACTGGGAAATAGGGCTTGCACTTCCTGTGGCGGTCCCTCACAGTCAGAGAGAGGTAAAGTTAAAGTTGAAGCAGTTTTTGGTAGATATTGAAACCTGATCTTTGACTGGAATTGTTTTCCCACACAAAACATCCAGTAATATCACCTTGATGTGGGTGGAGATGCTAGTTGGAAGGTGGCACTAATGGGAACATCTAGAACCAAATTTACAGAGATTAAAGATTCTTCCAGTTTGGAGGAATTTTTATCACTGCATTATCAATTTGTGATAATTTACAATAATCAGCTTAACCACTACAGTTACTGAAAGGAATTGAATGTGACCACTATAAATAACTGAAATAAATTTTGTAACATTTCTGAACTTTAAACAACAGCACAGAAGTAGACCCTTTGGTCTAACCAGTCCACGCCAAAGTAAACTGATCCCACCTGCCTGTGTTTGGCACATATCCTTCCAAACCTTTCCTATTCATGTACTTATCCAAAGGTCTTTTAAACACAACTTCCACTTCCTTGGGCAGTTCATTTACACATGAACTACCCTCTGTGTAAAAAAAGTTGCCCCTCATGTCCTTTTTAAAAATTTCTCCCCTCACCCTAAAAATATGCTTCCCAGTCTTGAACTCCCCCACCCCAGGCAAAGACACTTGTCAGTCACTTTATCTATACTGTCATGACTTTATAAACCTCAATAAGGTCACTCCTCAATGACTCTGAGTCTATAAGTGCATTCAAGCAGGCAGCTGACCCTCTCAAGGGTAACTTGGGATGGGTAATAAATGCTGGCCCAGCTAGTAATGCTAGTGTCCCACAAGTGAATAAAATAAAAATGAACCTACCATTTCAATTTTGCAATGTTTAAAATATCTCTTTCTATATCTCACTCTTTGCCTTGTCCTTGGATTGTTCAGCAGGTCACAGGGCAGGCTCTGTTATCTTTTGGACTGTGCTATTTCCTTTCCTTCCAGCCCCATCAGGCACTCATCATCCCATTTGTTCCAATACCTTTATTCTGGGTCATTGTATCTTCAAAATGCTGCTGGTTCCTGGACCTCTCCAGTGCCCCCAGGACACACTTAGGCTAAATAAAAACCAAAAGAACTGCAGATGCTGTTGCTGGAAAAGCTCAGCAGGTCTGGCAGCATCTGTGAAGAAAAAATCAGTTAGCATTTGGGGTCCAGTGACCCTTCCTCAGAACTCTTCCTAGTTCTGAGGAAGGGTCACTTGATCCGAAACGTTAACTCTGATTTTTTTCTTCACAGATGCTGCCAGACCTGCTGAGCTTTTCCAGCAACTTCTGTTTTTGCTCAGGCTAAATACCTCTGGCCCATCCCTCATGAGTATACCTTGGTATCAAACACCAACCCTTTGCTAATCCTGCCTGACAATTTCACACTATTAACTTCCGTCTGTGCCCAACCCAAGGCCCATCGTTTTCCTCCAGTAGAAACTAGTACAGATACCTCTGTAGTGCATTGGTTTTATTTACTGGGGAGTATTCTGAAATAATAAAAAGATTTGTGTTTGTGTAGTGTCCAAATCACTTTTCAGCCAATAAACCTTTGAAGTGTCTAATGTAGGAAACGCAGCAGGTAATTTATGCACAGCCAGCTCCTGAAAACTGCAAGTGTGATAATCACAAGATCCTCTTCTACATAGTTTCCTGGGATCTTGGCCATTTCAGTTTAACATACTACCAGAAAGATGCATCTTCTGACTGAGGCTCACTCTGTCAGTGCTGTACCTGAGTGTAGGTCTAGATTTCTATGAGCCACAAGGCTCAGGCACAGAGGGAGGAGGGTAACAGACTGAGCCACAGCTAACATTCTGTATAACGGATAGATCTCCTGTTCCCTAATCAATCTTCAGTTTTTTTGTGAACAGTACCATGATTAAAAAAACACTGCACAGTCATATTTAAATTTAATGCAAACAGAACACCATGCATTTAACCATTGCTACTTACTACAGATTGGTTTTTCTTTTACTGATAGCAGGCCAGTTAGACATTGTTTCCCAACTTTAGAAAACTGAAAGATGAAGGTAGTCTCTGAAGTCTCGTAAAATCCAGGGACACCCTGTATGAGGATGTACTTTAATTTAAATGACAGGAATCATCGACCAAACCTGTATTGAATTATGGGATATGAGCTTTGAGGAACCAATTCTGTCCCATATTTTGGATATATTAGCAGGTACTGCCTGAAGGAAATAGAGGTGCCTTTGAAGACAATTACTCCTGATTTATTCAATAAACAGAGAAAGCTACATATGTATTCATTGGTGGGAACAGCTTTCTCTGTGTATATCTATACATTCATATTCAGAAGTGTTATTGTGTAAACATTTGTGGACCTAAAAATATCAATAAATTATCCACTGAAGCATAAATTGTACAGCAAGTAGAAACTGTTTTGATACATTATTCATACGAGTTACAGCAACATATTATTTAATTATTTGCTCACACTCCACATCCTATCATTTAACCTCCCAAATTTCAATCTATTTTCATGACATTCAGAGCTTGTGAGAAATTAGTTGAAGGAGTCATCTCAATTCATGGCTATTTGTGTGGCTGGGATGAAAAATAGTTGTACAGAAATGTACCTGCCTGTGCCTGAACATATCATTCCAAAGCAAGCAATGAGTTAAACGTGATACCAAGATAGATTGCCTTGCAGTAAAGTTAATAAGATTTAAATGACCTTCAAATATTCCACTCTAACACCAATAAGAGAAGCAATATTGGAATTAAGGAGCTATACAACTGCTTTCTTGTAAGAGCGCTTTCAGGCTCATTCTCGTTTCCACAGCTAATTTTGTAAAGAGAGCATTCACCATTTCAAAGACCATTCACTGAAAATATTTAATACTGAATGAACACACAGTTAATTGTCTTCTGGATCTCCCTTTGTGCTATGCATGCATAAGACCGTTTCTCATTGAATCAAAAACGTCACCTATAAACAATTCACATTTCTGCAAATGCAGTACAGGTTTTTAAAAACACTTTCCATTGTGTTCTGAGACACTTGAATTCACTCTCCTAAAAATAGTTCTAGTTGGAGAATGCAGGATTAAGATGGTCAGTAAGAATCAGGGATAGAGATGTCCTCGAGCTGGCTTTGGTTTGGATGCCTTTTGAATTATGTTGAGTCTGGCAGAGGTGCTACCTGGTTCTGGTTGAAAAGGCGTCTCTTCACATGAAGGTATAACTGGCTGGCTCTCAGCCCAAAAACCACAGGGCACAGGCATCGGGGCAACACCGAGAAAAGCGAGATGTTGATCAAGTGTAGCTGGGCCATCACTTGGACTTTAATGGATGTGTTTTTGACCAGGTTGGAGTAGACGATGTAGTTTGCGACGGGAATGAAATAAAGGAAGAGCTGAAGGCCATGGAGGAGTACTGTATTGCGGGCACGCACTTTGGGCGAAGTTTGGCGAGCTTCTTTATATATCATACAATAGCAGAACACGATGGTCACTGCGCTGGCCAGGAAGGTGAGAGCGAGGACAGCTTGCTGCACTTGAAATAAAGCAAAGGCTGTTTCTAGGATGCCCCCTTGGACTGGAGGGAAGAGGCAGCGAAAGGATTCTATGACCAGTGGGGGTGTGCCGGCCCCCAGAAGCATCAGGAGACATACCAGTGGATGCAGTGTGGCCAAGAGCCATATGAGGGCGATGGCCTTCTGAGTTTTACCGGACGTGCAAAGGGACCGGTAGTGTAAAGGCCAGCAGATTGCAATGTACTTGTCCACAGCCATAGCAGTGACGGTAAAGAAGCCGCTAATGAAGCTGGAAAAGACCAGCAGGTAATTGATGAGACACAGCACGGTGGGTATACTGATGATTGCTGCCCACATCACTGTTGTGATCATCACCAGGAGTAAATAGACCAGATCGCTTATGAGGAGACTGGCCAGGAGCAGGTGCCTTGGCTCCTTCCGCACAGCAGAGACCCGGAAGATAGTATCCAGCATAGCTCCACTGCAAAGCAGCGTAAACAGCAAACAGATCGCCTCTGGCAGTAATAAGACCCACGAGGGACAGTGGAGATATTTCGCAGTCCCATTGAATGAAGCATTCAACATCTTTAGGCAACGCTTCCAAATGCCGCACGCCTCAGGTTGTCCTCTCCCAAGTGTTCAGTTCCGTTCCTCGGTGCCTTTTGGAAATAAAAAAAAGGTGGACCGCGAGGTACTGGTTTGATGTTTTGTCCGTGGAAAGGTTGCACGGAGTAAGCAACCAGTCATGTGGTAGTTTTGAATATACAAGAAGACCCACTATGAATTAGAAAGGAGCACATCAAACCAAGTAGGATCAAACAGAATATCAGGTGAGGCAGTCTTTGAGCATTAACTGGCTCAGCATTGCTTTAATGTTACCAATTTGTGAAAAGAAAATCGATTTTTATGTTTGCAATAAAAGGAATTGAAACTTTTGATAGATTAAAATAAATAGAGAAAAACGTTGCTGGTGGAATTATGCAGGGTCTAGTATTTCCTCAGTCTCAGTTTTATAGAGGACATGTTAAATATTCTACAACAGCTCACAGTTTCAAAGCCCAGCAAATGTTAATTGATATTGATGTTTAATATTCACATATAGAGAGCTCTTAACGTCTAATAATCCTGAATTAGAATTGCAAACTAATTCCTTTATTGTATCCTACTTAAAGCCACATGACAACATTATCTGTGTAGTGGTAAAATCACTATAGTTGTTTGAGGTATTCAGTCAATGAATACTTCAGCTTCCTCTTAAAGATAAGGAACAATAAAAGCAGCTGCAGAGTGTAGACTAAGGTTCTCAAGCCTTTATAGAATAAAATCACAGAATCTGGACAGTGTGGGAGCACACCATTTGGCCTATCGAGGCTACACAGACCCTCTGAAGATCATCCCACTCAGAACCATGCCCCTATCCTATCCGTGTAACCCTGCATTTCCCATAGATAATCCACCTAGTGCACACGTCCCTGGGCAGTTTAGCACAGCTAATCCACCTAGCCTGTGCATCTTTGGACTATGGGAGGAAACCGGAGCACCCAGAGGAAACCCACGTAGACACAGGGAGAATGTGCAAACTCCACACAGTCACCTGAGGCTGGAATCGAATGTGGGTCCCTGGTGCTGTGAGGCAGCAGTGTTAACCACTGACTCACTGTGCCACCCATTAACCTTCTGCCTGAACTTTACTTTTCCACCATAATCCCTTCATTGCCCAAGAGATCAGAGCTCTGTCCATCTCTGCCTTGAAAACACTCAAAGCCAGAAATCACACGACACCAGGTTATAGCCCAACAGGTTTATTTGAAATCACAAGCGCTGCTCCTTCGTCAAATGCAGTGAGATGAATTCTGAAGATTTCTCGGTCCCTCTGTATAGGACTCAACCAGACCCTATAAGCCTGGACTTCATACTGTCACTGTTCATTTCATTTGCAAATTAATCCTGTCTTGGGTGCATTGCACATGGGTTGTGTCTTTAGTGGAAGAGAATATCTCACTGAAGATGACACTTCAGATGTTATGACAGAATTCCCTGTTGAGGGGTAGACAGCTGCAAAGTCGAGTTTGACCCTTTGTGAAGATCCTGAAATAATTATCCAGCTGGTTTTGGATTATTAACACCATATTATTAATTAAAATTTTCAGTTATTTAGCATTCCAGGTGGTAACAAGTAGATGGAGAGACAAATAGCACTTACTGAATGAGTGAGCATTTCTTGCCACACAGGAACAGGTGTAGGCCATTCAGCCCTTTGAGCGTGTTCTGCTCTTCATTGAGATCATGGCTGATCTGTGGCCTATGCTAAAATTCATGAAGGCCTAATCAGGGACAGTCCCCCAAACTGATTTCTCTTGGGTAGTAAAAGAATATCATCCCTCGGCCAGAACAGATCCAGTTACTGGGTTTAGAGGTTTGCAATCTGAGCACAAGTTGCATACACTTCCTGTCTATTTCCTTGAGCCTTGAAGCTGGATCCAATCATGGAACCCTCAAAATCATTTAAAGAATTCAATAGGGCAGATACATTGAAACTATTGCCTGTGGGGTACACCAGCTTCTCCACATCAGGGACAAGCAGGATAAGAGGACGCAGAGAGGAGGTTTGCTGGTGGGCTACATCTATCCAGAACCCAACCCCCCCATATGATGAGAGAGATGTGCAAGGGGTGGCACAGTCGCTCAGCGGTGAGCACTGCTGCCTCATGGTGTCACGGACCTGGGTTCGATTCCAGTATTGGGTGACTGTGTGGAGTTTGCACATTCTCCCCGTGTCTGCGTGGGTTTCCTCCAGGTGCTCTGGTTCCCTCCCACAGTCCAAAGATGTGCAGGTTAAGGTGGATTGGTCTTGCTAAATTGCCCATAGTGTTCAGGGATGAGCAGGCTAGCTGGGTTAGCCGTGGGAAATGCAGGGTTACAGGGGTAGGGAGGGGGGGGGGGTCTGGGTGGGATGCTCCTCAGAGGGTAGGTGTGGTCTTGATGGGCTGAATGGCCTGCTCCCACACAGTAGGGATTCTATGAGAATGCAAGGTGCAGTAGATGCATGCCCATTCCTAATGCACCATGCCAGTGAGTGAACAGCTATCCTGATTACACCATAGTGCATTCATCACAATCCCACTGCATTTGGATCTCCAAGGAACGCCAAAAGCCAAGGCTCCAGATCAGTGAGGACGTTCGGTGTACTGTACTTACTGTGGTAAAACTGGAAGAAGGGATAAGTGGGCTCAGCTGCCTTGTTTTTGCAGCAATCTCAATTTTCATTTCCAAATGGAGATGAAACACGAGCCTGTGTTTGTGTTACTGGCCAAAGCCAAGTTCACCCTCTCAATTGTTGGTATTCGTTTCTTCAGGAGTTGTACTTGTACAAATCCACAATGTAGTCTTTGGGTCCTGTGGGACACAAGGGATTCAGGACCCTGGGACAACCTCACAATGACGTCAGTGGAGCTGCACATCACTGAGTATAAATAGCACAATGGGGGAGGAGTTAGAAATCTCTAGAATGAGAGACAGCCTTGAGAGCCCCTGGATATATGAACGTACAAATAAATTAATCCTTACCTATTGTAACCAACATGGCAATCTGTATGGGTATGTGGGAAATGCAGCTCACTGCTGGCTGTGAGGATCCTCCATGTTGGTCACAGGGACCAACATCTCAGGGCACACTCCTTGGGCACCAGCCACGCACACACATCCCATGTCCATGGACGTTGGCATCTGACATGTGCCAGCCTCTGTGAACCCTCATGGCACATTTTCCATCCACTTCCAGGACACTTCTGCACTTCAGTGATGTACCTCAGGCTGCCTCAGTACTTACCATTGTAGGCCAAGTGACCAAGTCTTGTTCCTTGTTCATATGTTTGGTCATGTATGATCGGAGCCTTGTATCACTAGGATTACCATGTAGAGGAATATTTAGGATTCATTTACAATAGACAGCACTACATTGAAATCTAAGCCTGAAAACAGGTCTTGACTTTGTCCGGCTCTGCTCCTCCAGCTCCACACTGTGTTATCTCTGTCTCCAGCATTGGCAGTTCTTACTATTTCTCTTGACTTTGTCTGTTGCTCAGCCACTGTGGAGGTGATGGCCTATTGGTATTATCGCTGGACTGTAAATCCAGAGAACCAGGTAATGTTCTGGGAACCCGGGTTTGAATCCCACCACAGCAGATACATTGAATACAATACGTTTATTGAATACAATAAACGTGTGAAATTAAGAGTCTAATGATGACCATGAATCCAATGTTGATTGTCGGTTCACTGACGTGCTTTAGGGAAGGAAAAGATGTGGTCAATTCTTAACTGCCTTCTGGGCAGTAAATACTGGTCCTCATCCTGTGAATGAATTTAAAACAAAGTCTCTCTCCAAGCCAAATTTATGGTGTGGCACCAAACCACACAAGACAGGGCCTTGTTATAGGTTTAGGTATTCAGTGCTTTTGCGTATACAATTGCCCGCTAACACTCCATGCTACAACATATAGAGTCAGCATTAGAACCTGTCAGTTTCATTAACTTGACCTTTTCTCTACCCCTTCAGCTCAAAGTATTGAAAGAAAGCCATGTTGTCTAACTCATATTTTCATTCAGAAACTGCTATAAAAGAGATTTTCACTACAATGGGAAAAGCATGTCGCATTCAGCAAGCTTTGTTGATGGATGATTAAGTCTGCATCCTTTATAATTCGTCAAGATGTATTCATGCAGTCTAACCATACACTCTCTCACAAAATGTATCACGTAGATTATAATCCATCAATAAATACATATATATTTACAACGGAAATCCCTACAGTGTGCACACAGTAACCTATTGAATTTTTTTACGGAATCCGTAGTATCTACTCTGTAGAATCCTTATATTAAAGCACTGGCTCTGTTGGGATTATACAATCTAATTGTGAACATATATAGGTGACTGGTAACTCACTGCAAGGGGATAACTAATTTTCTTGCTGCAGATAAAAGTAGTGCCGTTCTTTGAGACAACTGAATAAATTTTAAAAAGCATGCAAATGGATCAATGTCACTTAATTAGCTGAAAGATTGCTAATCAAATGGCAGTTGGTATCAACCAACCTATTGATTGAGGAATGTCATGATCGTTGAATCATTATCAATGCTGCACTTGTTACGAGTGATCTCGGAAATACATTTATTCACTGAAGATCTCTGGAGGTTATGTAAACCAGTGTTCATTTAAGAGGGTTTGTTTTGTCATTAGAGATTGTGTTGATCAGAGAAACACAATGAAAATCTCCCTAAGTGGGACCTGACCAGCTCAGTCATGAAGAACAACATTGCAAATACAGTCACTCGTCTGGGTTCTCCCCCCACCAACCACTACCGCCTGGTTGGAATGTTATGGAGGTTACCTCCTTACCAAAAGTGAAGGAAAGATGTGTTTTATTAAACTGTTTTCGCTAACCTCAGGATTTCTCGAAGAGAAAGCAGAAGAGTCCTAAGAAGAGAGTCATAGCAAATTCAAAATGTTAACTCTGTTTCTCTCTCCACTGATGCTGCCAGACCTGCTGAGTTTCTCCAGCAATTTCAGTTTCAATGTCAAG